GGCTGGTTCGAATTATAAATTCGAATTCGAATAAAAATTTTTTTTTTTGCCAGAATTATATGGGTGGCTCATTCGAATTATAAATTCGATTCCGAATAAAAATTTAGTTTTTTTTCTTTTTTTGTCAGAGTTATATGGGTGGCTCGTTCGAATTATAAATTCGAATTTGAATAAAAATTTATCTTTTTTTTTCTGCCGGAGTTATATGGGTGCTTCGTTGGAATTATAAATTCGAATTCGAAAAAAAAAATTTTTCTTTTTCTTCGGCTAATAAAAGGGGGGTGTGCGTCGAAATTTTCATTTATATTCGAACTCGAATTAGGCAGCTACTCTGTTTTCGCGAAACAGTTTGTTGGTTTAGCTCTACTAAGACATATAATATCAAACTCATACAATTCTTGGAGCTTCTAATAGCAGCAACGTCTTTTTTAGTCTGTAATGTTTAGTATGCTAATATTCAAAGCCAATGAAGACTTCTTTCAAAAAGTTTTGACTAGGACTCACAGCAACTAGAATTGAGGACCAGCTAACTATTCTTTGAGTCTTTTCAAATAATGATATGATTTCTTTACCATTGGATAGGTTTAGTCTATTCTTATTTGAAATACTTAGTTCCTTAACACAGCTGAAATGTATTCCACTCCACAGAAGAATGCTACTGCAGAGAGAAAGATAATGTGAGCTAATCGGTAAGATTTTTACATTAGACTTCCTATTTGAGGTTTATTGATACCTAAATATTATCGCGGTTGCATGATGCTACTAGTTAGAAAGACAGCGACAACAGAAAAGATTTTATTCAAAACATTTTTCTATGAAAGCATGAACTTGAATACTGGTGGCTATTGGGCTTCTGTAAAAATCAGCTAAGACTGCTGCATACGAGTGATCCACAATTTCAAGAAAAATGTTGAGTTTGAATCGACAGCAGCTTGTAAAATCTAGCTAACTTTTCGTGAGTATAATGAATTCATTAGACATAGTATGAGCCCCTGATGAAAGGATAAGAAAGTGTTAGTCAATATTTAGAGCTTGTATTTCCAATACGATTGAAGTTCTGCCAGTGGGAAATTTTCCGGATTAAATCTCTTGATCATTGACTCCATGAAAATCCTTAAAAATGAGCAAAATAAGCAAATTTTAGTTGACAAAAATTTTAAAAAAACCGGTAAAAAACCGGTGAAGACCGGCCGGTCTGAGAAGTTAGACCGGACCGGATCGGTAACCGGCAGACCGGCCGGTCCGGTTCCAAGTATGACCCACACCCACACCCACACCCACACCCTGGCTAGGGCTTAGCTTTATTTACATGTCAGATGTGAAAATTCTGGCTTTCTCTATACCCTATTAGCTGAGATGTTAGTCTAGTAGGGAGCCCAAAACTGGTAAAACTAGCTGTTTCATTTGTTCAATTTCTTCCCTAGACTTAGTATTTCAAACGCAATTCAATTTCAATACAGTTCTATATTTTATTATTGACATAGACGCTTATTTATTATTCCAAAGATTGAGTTGTGTGTTCCATTGAATAAGAAGCCAAACGGAAGCACTTCTTTCGATTCAATTATTTTTTTCTTTTTGCGTTCTACAACAAATAAACCGAAGTCGAAATGATCGGCAACGAATTATCGGCGCGGTAGATTTCTGATTGATTTTCAAAGAATATGATCACAGTATGCTAACGTCAAGCTCGTTTGACATCGTTGAGTTTATTCACAATGTTTGCATTGAGAAATAAAACAGTTGCATATCTAAATTGAAAGAAAGTTTCATTGATTCTACCCTACTATTGAAAACTATTTGTGAATATCTATTCTCGATTCCAGTTTTAAATCGAGAAAACCATAGACTGATTTGGCTCCTTACTATTCAAATATACTACCATATGATTTCAGTTATCACCTACAGGTCTTCTACAGCAAGTCACACAGGGTTAACAGACCAGTGATTTGAGGTGATATGAGGCTAACGATTTTGCTTTGCGTGTTGCATACAAAAGTAAAAATATCTGAGTATTGTCAGTGAGATTTCAAGAAAAGGGGGGTGAAGGACATTTTCAATTCACTCTCGCTTGCACACCATTTTTATTTATACGAAATTCATGACTTTGTATTAGATGTAAAAAACTAAAATATGTTAATTCAATTTTTTTCGTTAGAAAATTTATTTGATGAAATCTGAGTGCCTCATGTCGACCTACAAGAAGCCTTTGTGTAACATACATCTCCTCGTTGTGAAGAAACCTACAACATGTATACTTATCTACTGATTCTTTTTCTCCTTTCTGCAATATATAATACAATATATCATAGATGGAACCGGTCTAATTTTTTTTAGACCGGCACCGGTACCGGTCTGAAACTTTTAGACCGGATCGGACCGGCCGACATACTGGTTTGACCGGCCTACCGGTAAAAACCGATCTGACTGGTCTAAACCAGTCTAATCGGTCCCAACCGGTCTTACCGGTCCAAATCGGTCGAAACTAGTCTATGTTTCTAAAAATTGTGTACTTGATTTTGTCATCGAAGAAAGGGTTTTTTGCAAAAAAACTGATTTTTTATAAAGTTTGACCGAAGGTAATCAAGGTCGAGAAGCTCAAATCTGTAATCGGTTTTTCGAAATTTTGAGTTTAGTTTTTTCCAAAAAAAAGTTTTTTACAAAAAAAAATCACATTTTGCTAAAAAATTATTCTTTTGTAAAAAAAACTATTTTTTGCTAAAAACTTATTTCTTGTTAAAAAACCATTTTTTGGTAAAAAACGGTTTTTTACCAAAAAAACGCTTTTTTTAATCAAAAAAATCATTCTTTAGCAGAAAAATAGTTTTTTAACCAAAAAAATGGTTTTTTTTGCAAAAAAAAATAATTTTTTAGCAAAAGAATAGTTTTTTCTACCAAAAATAATTTTTTAGCAAAATATGATTTTTTTTTGTAAAAAAAATTTTGTTGAAAAAAATTAAACTCAAAACTTCGGAAAACCGATAACAGATTCGAATTCCTCAACCCCAAAAACTTTTAGTCAAGTTTTATAAAAAAAATCGTTATTTTTGGAAAAACCCTTTCCCTAATGAAAAAAACTAAACTCAAAATTTCCAAAAACCGATTACAGATTTGAACTCCTCGACCTCGATTACCTTTGGTCAAACTTTATAAAAAATCAGTTTTTTTGCAAAAAATCCTTTCTTTGGTAAACAAAATCAAGTATCCAAATTTTAAACATAGACTGGTTTCGACCGATTTGGACCCGTAAGACCGGTCTAGACCGGTTTGGACCGGTCAGATCGGTTTAGACCGATCAGACCAGTCGACCGGTAGACCGGTCGATCCGAAATCCAGACCGGTACCGGTACCATCTATGCAATATATCAGTGAAGTGAAATACAAACGCTCATTTTCTTGTCGAACACAATCGCACACTACAATCAAGATCCAGTCGATAAACATAGCAAACCACAGGATAATCAATCTTATCCAGTATTGTTAACTATACTTGTAGATCCACACAATATTCCGTGTTATCTTCCGCTATCAATGCCATCTGTCGGTAAAGTTTCTCATCAAGTGCGTAATTCATCATTGGAATTTCTGTCTCTATTCTTACGAGTCATTCAATCTAGTATCATCATTCATTGACAAAAGACATGCGATCTCATTTTGTTATCCATGTAACCACTCGATCACCAAAAACTAATATCCATCCGACGAACAATCAGTCTGCCAATCCTCAAAACATTTTGTTTCCGGTTATATTCTTAAAATCTTTGATTATTCATATTTTCCTTTGTGTAATTAGATGTCAACTATGTTGGCTGCGCGTTATCATCAAGGAAAATCTCAGGCTGCCATGATCAGAGGAGAGAGAAGAGGAAAGAGGACGAAAGAGGGCAGAAAGAATATACGAGAGGTGACTTCCCATCGGGATCTTCTTGCAACAGCCCAGGATAAGTCTGCCAAACAAATTGTCAGTGAAAATTTTCGTAAATCAGTAAACAATCAAACACGTGCCGACAATGTCACCAAAATTAATCAATATTCCCAGTCATCAATGCAGGTGAGATAGCAAAATGAGGAGCATGATCATTATTAGATTCTATACACCTAAGTATTTATTATTGAAGATCTGGAAATTGTTTAGTTTTCGTTCTATGAACAAGTTCTTATTTGAAGTATATACATCTTCATCAAATTTTAGAAACTGTTAAAAGCTCTAATTTGATACAAAATTCGATAGAGAGAGTGTGTTCAACAATTTTTACCCTAATAAGTATATTTGTGTGCAACTCGTATGTTTGACTACATGCTATGTTAGCTAAACTCTTAATGAAATGGTTCTTCAAACGGAGAGAATGATCATTGTAATAAAAATCTAATGTTTGTCTATAAATAAACGATTTTTATGTAGGCTTTCTACACTTTTTCCCCTTTTATCAATGGGCAACATAATTTGAACCCATACAACCACTAGTTTTAAGAAATAGAATTTATATCTAAAAAATTTAGTGAAAAAGGATAGAATGACAATAGAACTAGAGAACTTTAGCATCCTATTGCGCAAAACTGCATTTTGACGTTTTTTCAAGGAAAAATGTTTGCCTTTAAGCATCGTTTGCATAAAACAAACTGGAAACGTATTCATTTACATAGCGTCTATCTTGAAAAAAAGTATTTCAAAGGGAAAGTACTAAATAAGGATTGAAAACACAAGGAAATACTATCATGTTATATGTAGTTCAATAGCCTTTTTCTTAGTTAGTTTCTATATTGTAATCGAACTTTTCCTGATTCCATCAAAAACACCTGCCTTAGAAAACAGGTTAGAGATTGATCAAAAGTCAGATGATAGATTGAAGGAGTTTCGAGAATATATTTTAAAAAGATAACGAATGATCAACAAGTATTTATTGGTATAAACTAAAGCAACCTAGTCCTCGTGATATTCCCTTTTCTGTGAGTTAAATATAAAATTATTTTTGTCCCAATGGGTTATATTTGCATTTGAGGCATTCTTTCAAATAATTTTATTTAATTCGATAATAAAACTGAAACCAAAATGAAACGATTTATCCTTTTTCTTTTGTCTATATTCATCTTTTAAATTAATTCAGGCAACTGGCTCACGATCAAATGGAGTGGATTTTCAAGATATCCATCACCAAGCGTCGAACGGAAATAAAACGAATCAGTAAATAATTGTTTTACATTTTTTCTTATTAACTTTTCAAAATTGTTCACTTAGCTATTTTAAATACATTCGTTGTCATTATTCACCTGTCTGTTTAATTCTGTCTCTACTTGCTCTTCTTCTTCTCGGTGCGGGTATTGCTGCAATGCTTGTCGCCTTGATCGGTATTCCTAAAACTACAATAACAGCAACAACAGCGATGACAACAACAACAACAGGTAAGGCAACATTTGTGTTTTTGTTCGCGTATGTACATAAATATTCATACAACTAGATTCGTAAAAGAGGTTCTAGCGATCGATGTGAGACATATCTATAACTGAGATAGGTCCAAGAGGGAAGCAGCGATCTTGGATGATTTTGGTGGCTCAAATTTGATTTTCCACAGATTTAAATCAGCTACTTCCTCCTTGGAAGATTGATGAACAACTCTTCGAAAACTGAAGCTGATATTCAGTCAAGATGTTCGACAGTTTGGCTATAGAAGAAGCTGCCGATTTTCTTCTTCTCCTCATTTCTTTCTTCATTGATTTCTTCATTCTTGCCCAGTTTTCGTGAGGCACCCGGCTGGCCATTATAGATTTAAAAAAAGACAGAATAAGGAATTTATTGTTTTTGAACTATGAAAAGGATGAACAAATCATTGAGTGTTTATTTGGATGAACTCAAGGGTAATACTGCTATTGTCTGGTCCAGATAACGAATGAACGAACGAGTGATTGTAGGTGGAAAGAAGAACGGTTGTTTTGGGGCTAATGTCATTTGATTGCGCCATTCTCGTAGTGCTTCATCAAAGTACCCACTGTTGAGTGAAGTACATCATCAATCATCTCTTACGTAAATGCACGTATCATTCAATTAAAGTTCTTTTTAACGGAGTTCTGATCATGATTTATCGAAAGCATGTTGTCAATCATCCTACTAATTGTGCCCAAGAAAAATCTAGCGAATTCGGCCGATTAGGGGCTCATATCGTTTCGTTTGATAATCTGACCGAATCTGAGATAAGATTCAGTTTAGTTCCAATGGTAAAAGATTGACAGCAGCATCGTGAAACCAGAGGAAGACTAAACAACGATAAGAATGCATTAGTCGCACACAGAGCTGCTGCGAATTAGTCAGGATTGTAGAGTGGTAGTTTTCTCATGGGAACTGTATAGACTACAAGAAAAAGTATTTAGCTTTGCGGGAGATAAAAGAAAATGTTTCAAGACTGTGGGCATTATTCTGTTCGCTCACGTTGTCTCTCTAGTAGCTGAGGTAACGTTTCTGAAACTAAACAATACTCAGGTAAGGCAATTGTTTTTCATAATTATATTAGTGCTAATAACAATTTTTGTTTCGTAATAGCTCCATGCAATAGAACGTTTGCTGCTCAAGTGACCTATTCAACTGGCACTATCCCGCGTGCTGTGGCAGCAGTCGATGTCAATGGAGACAGCAAACTCGATATTATTGTCGCAAACTACGGTTCAAACAATGTCG